GCAGATATTGGTGCTTCACTCGTCGTGTGACTTGGAACTAGTCATTTAATTTCTTTTGGTCTCTATTTTAACCTTTGTAAAATGAAAGACTTGAACCAGTTCTCTAAAGACCCAAAGAATAGGTGTTGGACAGGCATAGTGTACGGTCAAAAAAAGACAGAAAACTAATTGAGTCACATGGAGCTTAAATCCACGTTTGTGCTGTGAAGCAATAAATGGATCCTAACTAGCTCCCTGGCTGGTTAACATTATTTTGTTTCACTGAGAACTGTTACTATGAAATTCAAATGTCATTGGACAGGATGGTCAATTTCATCAGATCTTGTTCTAAAATGTCTTTTTCTGTTCATCCTTCTTTTTCATGTCTGGACACAGTACCACATTCTTTTGACCTATGACAGGAATGAGACTGACTGTGTGGATAAGAACCCCACATTCATCTGGAAACAAAAACTTCCTAATGATGTTCCAGGCCAGGGTAAGATATCCTTAGGGAATTTTCTTTTTTTTTAAATTGCTTTTCTGATAAGGAGAGTAAGTTCCATAGTTTATGCAATTAGCCTGTGTTTTTTGTTTTGTTTATTGTCTGAATTATATTTGCCAGGTTTGTAAATGAGGACTTTACTTCCCTGCACAATAAATGATATTACAGTTCTGATCAAACACTGAAAATATTTCTATTCTAACTTTAGTTATACTTATCCTTATTATGTGTCCTACTCACCTTTTGACATAAATTATCCTGTAGAAAACTAGTTTTGACAACTGGGAAAATGAACAGAGACATATATTCTTACTCCATGTACATGTTATTGCAGTCAACTCAAAGAATACATATTTTAGCAAGGAATATTTGATGTCATCAGGCTGAGGGGTGGTCGGTAAGCATGGCCTTGGAAGTCTCCCCTCATTCCCTCATAGGACACATATGTGGGTTACAATGACGGCTACCCACCTATTTAAGATGAAGTCCTATCATGTCATGGAAAGCCCTAACATGACCGGGCCTTCACCCATACAGGCTACAGTACAACCATACAACATTGGCCATCACTGGACAGGGCCGACCAAGTATGACCTGAACAATAAGGTCTCAGGACAGTCTGTCCTTGATAGGCTTGGTTAAGGCTTACCACAGTGAACAGTAAGTAATTCCATGTTAACTGATCTGTTTTTAAATTTGGACAAATATTTATGCCCAAAGATGCAAAATAGAAAAAAAAAGTGGAAACACCCTTAGTAGGGTGACTTAGAAAATTATAATCATAAATGAAGCATCACAAAAAACAATTAAAAATAATTATTTACAAAGAGGGAAAATTTATGATGTAAAGTAATAGGAAAATAAAGCTCTTTTATTTANTTGTACATGTCTTTTCTTCTCACCTACATAGTAGGTTCTTTAAAGAAAAGGAATGAGTCTTACCTAAACATGTCTCCAGCGCTTAGCTTCTTATCTGGCTTACATAGTTGATGATGATCAGCATTTCATTTTAAAACAAAACACCTGTCTTCATGTCACCCAAAGTTGTGCCCATCACAATCCATGAAAGCCTCTGTTATGGACAATCAAATGGTCAGTAGAAGGCTTTTGTATTTAAGGGGTTGGGTCCAGACATAACTAGGACTCTAACACAAAAAGTGATTCATTTTAATGGAATTTTTCAGTGTGAGCAGTACGGCATCCTTATTCATGTGTTGAATGTATATATTGACCCAGCTTTGTAAAAGATAGCTGTAGTAGAAAATATGGAAAGGTAAAGAAAAGGTGCCCGGGTTGAGAAAGTTAAACCAGAAATTCAGGTGCAGCATTTCAGAAAGGCAATCCAAAGTTTTCAGTTACTATAATGGACCTTTAACATAATGCTATATTTAGCATACATCCCATGGGCATACCTTAAAATAAGATCCCCTCCTTGCTTCAGTTACTAGCAGTAACAACAAAGGTAATTACATTCCCTTCGAAGTTATTTGCATCTGGGAGAAGAAGCAGACACTTGTGGTAAGATCCGATGTGAGTCTCATGACTGTTCTTCAAAATAAAAAAAAATGTTGTTCTGTGCATTTAATTTTTTGAAGGCAAATCCAGTTGAATTTTTCAATAATCTAGTGTCACCAATTGTGCTATATAATATGAATAAATGGGGAAATCAGGTATTAATTTTCAAAACATATGGCTATAGATAAATTATTCTATTTCCAGAGTAGGTCTCAGTAGAGATTCAATGTACCACACCCTAATATATAGCAAATTTCCTATCCTCAACATATGCAGTTATAGATTCTGCTCTCAACTTAAGAGTATATTTTTGAGGATGTAAAACTTTTGTCTAGAATGTTTTGAAGGAATGATGACAAATTTAGAAGGATGGTTATTTTTTCAGATGCCTTTTATAAAGCTGATTCAGTATATGCAGCAGCAATTTAAGGATATATTAATATTCCCATTGGCAGATTACTTAAAAAAGTAGCCTTTTATTTAAAAAACCTAGTGTTGTTATAAGAAAGCACATTAGAAGAAAGTGATAGAAGAGATTCAAAAAATATGTAATTGATATACTTTAAGAAATGTAGAATTATTTTAGAGCCCCTTGAGAAGTATCAAAATGGGTAATGAATTTTATCTGTAATACATTTTCTCAAGACATCATTTTCAATAGCAACTTAAT